ACATTGACCTTGCAAAGCAAAACAGAGCGCTAAGGGCCTGAGTCTTTATATATATATTATATAAATACAAATATATAGTGCTCCCTTGATGTGATGTGATCCTGCGCAGCGGGTGCTCCATTTCACTCATGCTCGCTCGGCAAGGGAAAGACGTTGAAGAAGTCCTTTGGCGGGGTGGGCAGCTCCATCAACAGCCAGTGGAGCAGCTTGGTGAGAGCCCCGATGCGTCTTTTCGCAGCGGGGGGAGCATCGATGTGGGGCGGACGGGTGGTAATTTGAAGAGTGGGACCCGAAAGAACCGGACACCTTCCCGGTGCAAAGGACTTGCATAGACAGACTGGACCCCCTGATATAATTGGAGGGTCGTCCTATACAACCACGTTGATCTTTCAAGTAATGTCCCCACAAGAGTGATGAGTCTGGAGAAATGAGGCACATGCGCCCAACCATGGGCCATTGGCGTCATCATCGGCATGCACCCATCCATAGACCTTCTACCGGGGTGAGTCTGAGGAGAGTAGTCTTCAAATGTTCTTGGGTGATGAGTTGTCCCACTCACCTGTCGCCTAGGAACAAGACGCGACCATACTCGGAAGGGAAGACTTGAAGACTCGGAGAGTGGTTGCTGATAATTGTTGCTTTCTCTAGCAGCAGGATGCTGGCGTCGAACAAGTGTTACTGTAACAGGCAAGTTTTGTATTTGGGACGGGAAAAATGCTGCGGGTTGTCGCAACACAGAACGCTAGGCGAAGAAAGGAGCAAGAAGAAGAATAAGTAGTAGTAGTAGTAGTAGTAGTAGAAGCAACGTGAAGAAACAAGGAAGATGATAAAGAAAGAATAATAATAATAAGAAGGAACAAAAATAGCAATAAGAATGTAGAAGCGAGATAAGCAATCAGGAAAAGAAGAAAGAAGCCGAAAGAAGAAGAAGAAGAAGAAGCAAAGATAAGAATAATAAGCAGCAAAGATCAGAAACATTAAAATATAACAATAACAAAAAGAAGCTAATAAGCAAGCACAAAGAAGAATAGATAATACTATGAAAAAACAAGGCAACGAAAAGTAAGACACACCAGGAAGAAGCAAAATAAGCAAACAGGAGAAGAAAGAAACAAGCAGAGAGCAGGAAAAGTAATACGTAATTAACAAGACAAGCAGAAGTTAAAACAAAGAAGAATAAGAAGAAGGCAGAACAACAAGAAGACAAGCAGGCAGGAAAAAGAAACAAAAATATGAAGAAGCAGAAACAATAGAAATAATCAGCAAAGAAAAGAACAAGGGAGAAATCAAGGCAGAGCAAGAAGAGGACACGCAAGAAGGAAAGAGAAAAAACAGGAAGAGGAAAGGGGCAGGAACAGGAAAAAACAAAATGAAGAAACATAAGCAAGATAAGCTCGTCTATACGAAGTATAGTGCGAAGTTGAAGCTCCTCTTGGAGCACCTCTTTTGGGCCTGCGTTGGCGAGCCCTATAAACCCTAAACCCTAAACCCGTGAAGATGTGTTGGCGGCTCCTTGCTTATGGTCCGAGAAAGAAATAAGTATTAGACACCAAAGCATAGCAAAACTTATTTTTTTGCACTTTGGTGTGTGCTTTGGCAGTTTGTTGAGGCATTCGGACACGTGTTGGAGAAATAGCAGCATGCCGATAGCACCACAAGTATAATCCTGTAAACAATAGTTTTGCATCCCTTCTGGCACAGACTAGATATAACATACACAAAATAACACAAAGGCCACCTATGGTAATATCAAGTCGCCCACGTTCATTTTGATCATCTAGATTTTTTTCCCCTGTCCTTGTGCGCCATGTCTATGCATTCGGACTCTCAAATCATAGGGGGCAATCATAGGGGGCCTTTGGTACGACAGCCATCCTGGTACGATAGCCATCCTCCACGATTTTCACACTACTGCACTTATTTAGTCTGGCACGATGAGTCTGACTACGGAACAGAGCACCATTTTCCGGGCAACATGGGACTCCAATAGACGTACATCTGGACGATTAGACCCTCCTCCGATGTGGATCCAAAGGACTTTCCAAGCCAACGAAGCTTGGACGGATCCTACTCCTCATGGGCGTATGTTCCAACGGAAGAGGCATGGACGGACGGGGGGATCTACCACCAAAATCCATGTGGACTCATACGTCCACTGCCAACCAACTCTTCGTTCCTTCACTTTCACCGCCTGCTTCCGAGCCACACGAAAGACCGCGCTCAGAAAACCTGGCGGATGGCATGGTCTTGGTGGTGGACTACTGGAAGAGCAGCAACTCGTTTCTTCAAGTAAGTGTGTGCCTCAACATGTCTATTTGAGAAAACTACCCCCAAGTTTTTTGTGGTCCGCTGCAAGGCCAGTACCATGTACGTATATATTATTAGCATCCTCCACAGCAGCCCTGACCACATGTTATACCTGTGAATGTTGTGGAAAGGGGGAAACTTTCTTTGTTGTGAAGTCTTGTTATCTATGTGTTGTGAAACAGTGTTTGTTGTGGAGAAACTTGAACTTGTAACCTGATGGGTGTCAAGCTTGAAAACAACACTTGACAAATACAAACCAAAAACCTTTGGTGCAACATGTACCATTGTAGCATGTGACATTGTCCTTACGGATGGATAGCATGGATCCTGGAATTTCCAGTGAATATCATACCGTTTCATTTCAACCAGAAACCATTTCTGGGTGCATCTTTGAGTCGCCTTCACAGCCAAAGAGGCAGAGTGTCACCTTTGAAAATGACCAGCTTACGCAACACCTCAAGATCCTGACCTGGCTTAAGCATCTTCTTTTGGATTGATATAATGTATATATATATATAATATATATATATATCCATCACATGTTCTCCAGTCACGGCTTTTCCCCGACCTTCCGTTCTCCACGGCTGCCAGACGACCTCACTTGGCTCGATGGAAATGGCTGTGGGTATGGCCATAGCGAATATTGTGCCTCGGCCGACCTTTTGTGGGGCGAGGGCGGCAACGTGGCGAGGGCGGCCGACCGGCCGAAAGAGAGATGTTTGAGGTATGGCGACGATGGGCATTTTTCCCATGAAGCCGCCAAACACAGGTTGCGCAAGGTTTCACAACAAGGAAGGTGCAAAAGGAATCCCGTGTCATTGGAGGGAAGAGCAAAGGCTGACATAGGCTGACCATGGCTGACCATCCTTTGATTTCCTGTGCTTATTGGATCTGATCGGTACCAAAGTGTCCCAAAGACGAGCACGATCAATTCTGTTTTGAGTGGTTCTTTGAAGGTTCCCTGAATGCAGAGGATGTCGCCAGGTCCGGTCCTCATGATGTCTGTAGGTCGCTGTAGGTCGCTCTCGACTTACCATCAATGCTCTCCGTCGAAAGACCAATCCGTCGAAGCTCTCGAAATGCAACGTCCGGGCACGCTGAAGCTTTGCACATTCCAGGCAGCAGCAACAGGGCTGACTTGTCCAACATGGCAATTATCTC